AGATAGATAGATAGATAGATAGATAGATAGATAGATAGATAGATAGACAGACAGACAGGGTCTTTTCCCATGTAAGATTGAGAGTATCTTGGTGACATTTCAACGAGGCCGAAGCCGAAAGCACCAGTCTGAAGATGGCGAGTGGGACCTCGTCGAAACATCACCAAGATACTCTCAATCTTACACAGGAAAAGACCCGAACACACCAAAGCCTGTATACCTGTACCTGTGAAAATCTACGAAAACAAACACACACACACACACACACACACACACACTCTAGTCAAAAAGGTTAATTTAGCCATGTCTGCATGTTCATCATCTTCACCAATTATTCTTCCTCTAGGATAGTGAAACCTTTCCAGTTTTGATCACTGAAGTAACACTCCCATTTCAAAGCTGCACTGATTTCCAATTTGTTTCCAGATGTCATTTAAGAAGCTAGTTGTTACCTATAAAGCCCTACATGGCATAGGGAGTTACTTGAAAGATTCCCTCTCTCTCCCATAATTACTTAAGAGACAACCGTTCTCCTCATTCAGTTTGGCAACTTTGGTGCACTCTTTGTTCCTTCAGTTAAGCAATTCCATCTATCAGCATCCCAGAAACACACCTTCTCTATTGCCGTCCCTGCCCTTTGGAATGAAGTGCCCCCTTCCTTCCAGGATCTGAATGGTCATCACCCTGTTCGTGTTTCAAAGAAGTCTGAAGACTTGGTTCTTCACCCAGACCTTTCATACAGATTTCTAAAGTGTTGTTACCCTGGCATCCCTACCCTTCTTTTTGCTTTTTGCCTCTGCATTGTCTTTGTTTTTCATCCTTGAAATAATAATAATAATGATAATAATTTTTAAATAATTCAAGTGACATATACGTTTAATAAACAATAACATCATGATGGAGCCTACTTGTTTTCTTACATACACTCACTGTTGCCTTTTATTCTTCATAGCTGATAGTGTAGAAGAAAGAAGCAAGTATGAGTTACTTTGTGATGATGGCTCCAGAAGACCTGTTGAAGAATATGAATCCTGTTACTGGGCAAGAGTGGCATCTCATGCTGTGGTGGCACGATCTGTTGATGGTCGGGCAGATAAAATCTGGGCACTCCTCTCTTATGCACTGGTATTTTTCAAGTTTTTCTTTTTTATAAAACAGAGGTCAAAAATAAATATCACAAACGTCTCAATTCAAATTTTATGAAGGACTAACAGAAGAATAATGTATTAAAGCTACTAGTAGGAAAATGTTAACTTGAAAAGAGAATCCCATAAATAAAGCTGTTTTGACTGATTTATATACTACGAAGTTCATTTTAAAAAGAACAAAGAAATATTATTTTACATTGTTCTTGACGTGGTATTGTGAGCCATTTTTACACAGCCAGATAGAGAACATAAGTTCTTTTGGCTGACAGCACTGTGCCTTTTGGGCAATGGTTCATAATTTTCATTTAATTGAAAATTTGCCTGATCCATTAGTAAAAATAGTGATGAGATCACTGTGATAGTTTCATGGAGGAAACTATCTTTGCTACATGCAAAGAAATCAGCCAAAGACACAATGAGTATAAATTTTTACTCCTTATACTAAAGGCTAAAAATAACAATTTTGCTACTACCTTTTAAAGGGAAAGTGCTGCCAGGTCAAAATTATGCTCAAATTCCCAAGCAGATTTACCCAAAGAAGTCTGAATGTCTTCAGATGGGTGTCTCCTACAGGTTTCAATTAAAGGACAGTGCATTGATTCCATTTGCTTTTTGTAAATGAACTAAATAGTGAGAAAATATGGAAGAGTTACAGGTGAAAGTTTTCATCATCTGAACTCCTCGATGAAGGCAGTTACTGGTACCAGTTATTTGGCACATGTAACACCACTGCTCCGTAAACTTCTGATACGTTTTCAGGGGAAATTCAAAATGCTGGTTATCAATTGAAAACCCTTTGTGACTTTGGACTGAGCTATATACAGGATCATCTTTCCCCAATTATCTCTATCAGTCCTAACTGGTTTGGCAGAAAGAGTACGCTTCAAGTGCTAACAGATTGGAAGTGTTGCCTGGCATCTGTCCTTTGGAGCATCATTCCCTCTGAGATTAGATTGACCCCATCCCTGTTGACCTTTTTTGAGGTCTTGAAAACTTGGCTTTGTCCTTGAGCCTGGGGCCCATCTCCTGGTTATATGGATGATGTTGAATCATGCCCAGCTGGTATGGGTCGTTATTTTTGTTTTATATTACGTATACTTTGTTTTTGTTTTATTGTAAGTCATGTAAAAGTGAGATGGGCAGCTATACAAATTGAATAAATAAAATAAATATTCCATTAATTTTCATATTCCATCTCATCTCATTCTTCTTTGATTCATTCTTCTCTTATTTTAGGAACAGATCAAGCAAAAGCAATCAAGATGCCAGCTTTTTAAATCTCCTCAAGACTCTGGCAAAGATCTCTTGTTTAAGGATAGTGCGGTTGGTCTTATTCCAGTGCCTCAACGAGCAGATGCTGAACTTTACCTAGGTCCTAAGTACTGTGCTGCAATACAGATTCTCAAAAGAGGTAAACAGGGCAGGATTTGTTATGCATTATGAAGTAACAGTGATGAACACCAGGCATCAAAAATGAGGCATCAGAAAACTGTTAAAAAATAATAATTAGTTCACTTGCTATCAGTAATACTAGCTTAATTGCAATTAAAAGCAGTCTGTTGACTGCTACTAAAATCTCTGTAATGGGGAAAATTTCAACTTTTTGCAAAGTAGAAACTTTTATGCTTTGGCTGCACCCATGTTATAATGGGATTAGGTCCAACTTGTTTTTGGCTAAGACTCATATTTTCCTCCATTTGGCCAACTGAGGGTAGCACTGAAATAATAAAAAGGGTAATAATAGCAAACCATAAGCAATAGGATAGGGAGGCAAAAGTCAGTGTAGAGTAGACCCAGATTTCTTCTTGAATATCAAGAGAAAAAACTGTTACAGTAATAAATCACAGTCCCCATTTTATGTCATAATCTGGAATGAGTTCCAGGCAGATGGAAAAAAGGTTTTGTAGACATTAAATGCTAGTATTATCACAGAAACCAACCAGTGACAATTATCATTTAATTTTCCTGTGCTGATGCTGACTAGACTCTAAAGTACCTTAAGAAAATCCTGTACAGATTGAGACACTGTGGCAACAGCTTCCAAAATATCCAGTCTGGAAAACAGGCCACCATGTAAATTTATTTATCATTATTTATATAATAAAATATAAAACACTAATAAGCAAGGCATAGTTGAAAAATCAATACATTATAACAACCTAGGTTCTTTGGAAAAAATTGGTGCATATAAAGGCCAACAACAGCTAAAGAACTGGCAGTTGTGATTTCACATATAGTGAACAGATAATATATAATAACCTGGGTCTACAGCAACCTGCCATAGCCAACTTGCCACTGGACAACACATCATGGGACAAGAGTTACACTAATATTGAAGAAATAGTGGAACAGGATCATTAAAAAAGGATGCCAAAGGAGGGAAAAAATGAAATGTGAAGGACAAAAATTAAAATAATTCTTAGCTATTTTAAATAATTAAATTGAATTGTTGAATTGTTTCTCAGTGAGTTGTCCTCTGGTTGTCCTCTGGTAATGGTCATGGTGAATTGGCGATGGCGGGTTGATGTGGTGAATTGGCTGTGGTGAATTGGCTGCAGCGTGTTACTCCGTTCCATCTTATTTGAGTCTAGAGCAGAGCTGTCAAATTCCTGGCCAGGATGCATCATGCACTGGCCACGCCTATGCCCGGTTTAGTGAAGGGGGGGAAAGTCCCGATACGTCATGTGATGCCAACGTGGAGACGTGAGTTTGACACCCCGGTCTAGAGTATAAAGATGGAACACTGAAGCTTACAATGGTTCTTACATCGGCGGTCTCTGTTTAAGAGCAATTAGTTTGCAACATTTTGAGGAATCTGCATATTTGATTAACTGAGGTATTTCTTGTCCTTTAGAGAGAATTGATCAAGATCCTGATCAAGAAAGAATTAAGTGGTGTGCAGTGGGGAAGGCTGAAAAGGCAAAATGTGATGCGTGGAGTGCACAGAGCAGTGGTGTCATTCAATGTGCTGTTGCAGAAACTACAGAAGATTGCCTTATCAAGATCATAGTGAGTGTTTGGAAGTTCCACATACCTTTTCACATGAAAATTATGACTGAGTCCAGGCACTTTAGTTAATTTTTTTTTTAAAAAAAACAGGGTACTAGGTGTAATCCATGAAAAAGATGATAGTAAAATAAACAAGAAGTTTGTGATTTTGCTGGTATGCGTTAATTGAATATATCCAAGGAATCACATGTTATGGGTCTTTCATACTGGGCAAGTGGCCTCTGCAACAATGCATTGAGTGCGTAGTGTGGTATTTCCCACTGTGAGGTCTTACAGATATGTTGAATTATAACTCCTATTTTTCTAAGCTGAGAATGATTGAAATGGTTACTGTAGAAGAGTATCACTATGAGGACAACTGATGCTTCTGTTCATGATTGACCTCTGCACTTACTGTGCTGTCTCTGCCCTCAATACCAGTGCCATTTTGTTCCCAGGAAACATCCTCAGTGGTCTGTTTAGATTTCATCTCCTCCATTTGGAGCCTCTCTCCATTATTTTTCCCTCCTTATTTTATTTTGACTGGAATTGTAACCTGTCCTCTTTGTATTTTATTTTTTCAGTGATATTAGTTGGTCCCTGGGATAATGTCAAAGTGAACCAGAAAATGTCCATCCATAGCATGAGATAGTACATCCCTTTATTGTTGTTCAGTTAGGTCAATATTCTTGGTATTATTTCTTCTACTATGTTGTGTTTAGAAAATTTTCTGTCATAATCTCTCTCTGCTCTTTTGGAGAAAAATATATGGAGACTGCTGTATTTTTACAAACAAGAAAACCCAGCAGGAAACAAGAAAATAATTATTCATTTTTTTTCTTCTCCTGGTTTTAAAAATATAGAAATTGCAATAGGCAGAGTTGAGTGCACACTCGCTTAATACTGCCCTATCAGATATGCCTTTTTATAAGATACTTGTTTCCCTGCCCATGATTCTCAGTTTTGTTCCCTCAGTGATCAATCACCTCTCTGTCCCATAGAATGTGCTCAGACAAGATTGGTTATTCAAAATATTGGTGGGATTTCCCCCCTCCCCCACTCAATGTATTTTTTTAAAAACCTGGGGATCCAGGTGAATGATTCATTTTAACCATGTAAAGACATGGTTAGGAACTGTGTTTGCTGATAGAAAATACATTGGTCTTTGCAGAAAAGAGAAGCTGATGCTATTACCTTGGATGGAGGGCATATCTTCACTGCAGGAAAATGTGGCCTTGTCCCAGTATTGACAGAAATCCCTCGTAAGTATAAACTCAGTAGATCAATAGCTGTTGAAAGTACGTAAGAAGTGACCTGCTATATAGGACTCTGGGTCATTTATTCCAGTAGATCGGGGTGTCAAACTCAATTTCATTGAGGGGCTCATCAGGTTGTTTTTGATCTTGTGGGGCCAGGATGGGCATGGCCAGCTTGACATCACTCATGTTGGGGGCACCTGTGGTGCTCCAAGCACTCTGCCAGTGAAGACTCCCAAGCTCCGTTTTTGGCTGCGATGGCTTCCTGTAATCATCTGCAAACATTTGCATTTGCAGAGGCACCACAGATTGGTCCTTTGCTGTTTCCAGGGCGTCCCATGGACCAGATCTAAGCACCCCGTGGGCTGGATCCGGCCCCCAGGCCTGCAGTTTGACACCCCTGCTGTAGATTTTCTCCTAGTGGCCAACCAAATGCATAACATAGTCTACTAGTCTCCCAGCAGATAGTCTTCAGAAGCAAACCCACTGCCATCAAGGGTAATAGCCACAATTACTATGTGCATGAAGATGACTTCTGATGGCATGCAATTTTATCTCTGTGCTTTAGACTAAGAAACTCTTAGTTGTTTGGGCATCTGATCTGAAGGGAGAAAAATCTGTTCCAAGTCACCTCATTCCTCCCCACTGTTCTTGGATCATAGCTGATCTTTCCTCCTTTTCATTGTCATGTTCACCAAGTGATCTAATAATTTTACCTCATCCCCAAAGAGCGATATGCATGGCCCAACTGCAAAATTGTAAGGGGATGGATAGAAATTGAGTCCATCTTTTTGTTCACCAGCGTCATCAGTCCTGGATCATAGATATTATGTCTTGAGTTCAGTTACCTTGCACTCCATAATACTTGGCATTATCTGCTTTTAGGTCTATGTGTACAAAACACCCTCCCTGTAGTCCAAAGGTACATGAAAATTGAATACGCTTGTGCTTGAAGTGAATTCTCTGAATCCTATTTTTATTTTTATTTCTTCCAGGTGATGAGGCTGCTGCCTGTGTTGATCCCAAGAAAGGTAGGTAATTATGGTGAATATGTTGCCACTTAAGAGATCTGCAAGCAGCTAAACTTTTATTTGGCAATTTAAAACTTGGTCAGATCATTCTGTACCTAACTTCCTAATCTGTTGAAGAAAATTCCTCTTTTTGCACAAATTCCTGTCAGAGATAGTCCTCAACTTATGACCACAATTGAGTCCAAAATTTCTGTTGCTGTTAAGTGAATTTTGACCCATTTTATGACCTTTCCTGCTGCAGTTATTAAGTGAATCACTGCAGTTGTTAAGTTAGTAACATGGTTGTTGAATTAATCTAGCTTGCCCATTGACTTTCCTTGTCAGACAGTTGCAAAAGTCTCATGATCCCAAGACGCTGCAACCATCATAAAAAAGAGCCAATTGCCAAGCGTCTGAATTTTGATCATGTGACTATGAGGAAGCTGCAACAGTCATAAGCATGAAAAATGATCATAAGTCACTTATCTCAAAAACTGTTGTAAGTCAAGGAATATCTGTACTATCTTCTCATTTTATGATGGCAACCATGGCTTTAAATTCATTAGCAAGCGCTTACAAAGGACCCTCAAATTTCTCTTGTGACATGACAAGTGAGTTTTGCCTCATTTGTTGACCTTTCTTGCCACTGTTGTGAAGTGAATCACTGCAGTTATTAAGTTAGTCACACGGTTGTTGAATTAATCTGGTTTCCCCATTGACTTTGCTTGTCAGAAGGTCGCAAAAGGGGATCGATCATGTGATCCCAGGACACTGCAACTGTCATAAACACAGTGATGGGATTCAGCCAGTTCGCACCACTTCGGGAGAACCGGTTGTTAACTTTCTGAGCAGTTTGGTGAACTGGTTGTTGGAAGAAATCATTAGGGCAGAAAACCGGTTGTTAAATTATTTGAATGCCACCACTGCATAAACATGAGTCAGTTGCCAAGAGTCTAAATTTTGATTTTGTGACAACAGGGATGCCGCAATAGTCATAAACGTGAAATATGGTCATATCTCACTTTTTTCAGTGCTGTTGTAACTTTGAACGGTCACTAAATGAACAGTTATAAGTTGAGGTCTACCTGTACTTAGAATTCCTATACACAAATGAACTCTTTTCTCTTTAAATGTTTGCAAAAGATGTGAAGAAGTCACTGGGCCATGCCTACCTTCTGTTAGGTTATTTGAATGGTCAGTGGAGAAATGCTGACTCTGCTTTTTGTTTTCTAGCTAGAGGCTACTTTGCTGTAGCTGTTGCTAAGACAAGTGACACTGACGTCAACTGGAACACTCTGCGAGGAAAGAAGTCCTGTCATACTGGTGTTGGTAGAACAGCTGGCTGGAATATTCCCATGGGCCTTATTAACAGTCAAAATAATCTTAGTTGTCACTTTGGTGAGTGGCTTTATAATCATTTGGTTGCCTGTTTTTTATACTACTACCTCACCCATCCTCTAAACAGTGTTTCTGAACCATGCTGTCTGAGGAATTCTGGAATGGAAGTCCACACATCATAAAGCCGCTAAAGTTCAGAAAGACTGCTATAAAGGATTCGGTGCTTCTCTAGGACAACAGCTTCTGTAATTCCAAAGGATTACCAAAAGATTATGCAGTAATTGTGTCCCCAGCCCCCACCTGCAACACAAGTATTTTGCATGGGAAAAAAAAGAAAGTGTTTGGTTATAAATGGAAAATATTTATTGTTGTTACTTTGGAAAGAGTTCATTTCCTGATAACGTTTCAGAGACCATCACTAGTTTTTTCTTCTTTAGTTTTTTTTTTTTTAATAAAGTAACATAAACATTTGGGGCATGTAAACTGTTTGATCTAAAATGTCGAGCATATTTTTGGTGAAATGTCTTACTTTTGAGCATCAGACTCTCCCCAAAGTACCCAAAACAATACATTTTGCACGAGAGATTTAATGAACCTTTATTAAAAACTCACACACTTTAAATAAGACATTGTGCATGCCCTGCCACTAATTAAAATGCTTCTTAAGATATGTATATGTCACTCCTTAAAATAGCATTCTGCTAATATAGGATTGCAAAGGAATTTTGCAACATTAGGCTACTGCACTGAAATTTATGGAATAAATGGAACACCAGAAAGTGAATGAACATTATGAAAGCTATTCCTAATTCAATTTTTATCTAAAATTCCTGATGAAAATGAAAATAAAATAAAATATTTTTATTATTTTTTCTTTCAACGATTAGCCTTAACTGCTATATTTCTGAAAATTCTGGCACATCACTTTCCTTACTATTTAAAAGATGGTTAAAGTGAACTCTAATAATTTATTTTTTTGACTAAGACCACAAGCACTCAATTAAAAACTATCATTGTTTATATTTTGAAGAATGCAGCTAAGCAGGTATAGATAATTTGGGGGTTCTGTTAGACATATCTCAAAATATCAGTTGTAGCTAGGAGAGACACATACATTTAAGATAGGAGTTTATTATTTTTTTTAATCAGAATAAGTGATCCCGGACGTTTCCTGATTTGTGAAGGTATTTATCTTCACAAAATGGCTACCAATAGGAAGACTTGCATTTCCTAAAATGGCTACCTTTTTAAACATTACCAATCACAAAATGCATTTTTTCCAGAAGGTAAACTGGTAACCACCCTATTACCTCTGCAACTGATTCTCTTTATTGGTTATTCTTTGAAAATGATTTGCATCAAGTAGCAGCACAGTTTTTTTTCTGTTTAACCTAATACGACTGAGAGCAAATTCTATGTATTCATATCAGTTCCTCTTGAAGAACTCTGCTGTTGGCATTTCCTTAAATTGTAATGTGATAGTCAGTTACATATTTTGAAAAGACAGAATTCTGAAGTTGACATTTTTAAGCTGGCCATGCTTCCCAATAATAATATTTTGGATTTGGGTCCAGATTTTGTAGATCTTGTTGTCACTATTTAACTGTATTACAACTACAGGATTGCTAGACCTAGATCCCCCAATGGGATATACTTACCATGCTTTCTGGGGACTATGCAAACTGAAATCCAACATGTCAGGTAGACAACCAATTGGAGTATATTATTTTATAAGAATATAAACAAAAATATTAAAATGTTTGTTCTCTGATCCCATGCTAGATACATTCTTCAAAGAAAGCTGTGCGCCTGGTGCACCTCTTGAGTCTACATTGTGCAAACTGTGCAAAGGCAGTGGTGGTGAAGGTGGCCTGTCTGAGAAATACAAATGTAAACCTAACAGCAATGAAATATACTATAGCTATGCAGGTGCCCTTCGGTAGGTTGCTGTTCATTCCTCATTTTCCACCTCCAGTTCAGGATTCCTTCCTGTAGATGTTAGCCTATAATAAAATGTATGGGTCGTATGTATTCTTAGGCTCCAGAAATAGTGTAGAGAAGAGCAACAATGATGATTAGGGGACTGGAGCAGAGGTAGTGTTCAGCAGGTTCTGACCAGTTCTGGAGTACCGGTAGTGGAAATATTGAGTAGTTCGGAGAACCGGCAAATACCACCTCTGTCTGGTCCCACCCCCATCTATTCTCTGCCTCCTGAGTCCCAGCTGATTGGCTGGGTCTTCTTTTGTTGCCCTGCACAAGAGAACGGAACTGGAAAGCAGGTTAGTGGGGTGGGGAGGGAATGGGATTTTGCAGTATCCTTCCCCTTCCATGCCACCAAGCCACACCACACCCACCAAGCCACGCCTACAGAACTGGTAGTAAAAAATTTGACTCCCACCACTGAACTGGAGGCTAAAACATATACAGAACAGATTCTGGAATTGGGTATGTCTAGTTTAACGAAAAGAAGAACTAGAGGTGACATGATAGCAGTGTTCCTATATCTAAAGGGTTGCCATAAAGAAGAGGGAGTCAACCTATTCTCCAAATCACCTGAAGGCAGGACAAGAAGCAATGGATAGAAACTAATCAAGGAGAGAACCAACCTAGAAATAAGGAGAAAGTTCCTGACAGAACTGTGGAACAACTTGCCTCCAGAAGTTGTGAACACTCCAACAATGGAAATTTTTAAAAAGTGATTGGACAACCATTGGTCTAAAATGATATAGGGTTTCCTGTCTAAGAAGGGGATCGGAGTAGAAGACCTCTAAGGTTGCTTCCAACTCTGCTATTGTGTTATTCTCGTATATATTTGTGGGAAAGAAAAAGTCGAATCAACCAAGATAGTAAATACAAATGAGTAAATTGTTAGAACAGTTTCAGATGGCTCATTCAAGTCAGCATACTGGAGGGGAAGAAAATGTTTCATGTGAATGTGAAGTGAAGCTGATCTAGGAAAAGCTTATCTAGAGTTTTCAGAATTACTGAAGCATTTTTTGAATCTTTCTCCCGGAAATCATATTGGGCATCAATTCCAGGATCATATGAATTATAATATGATGATATCATATTATATTTTTTTATTGTTATTACAAGTATTGTAACACACACACTAGGCAAAGCCTTGATAAGGAAACTAGATTGGAAGTCCTCTTTAGATGCAATTACTACCCCACCTAGTGGTATAATGATCACTGTTATTCCACAATATAAGCATATTATTCTGTCTTTACATGTTGCTGTTAAAAGCTTGTATGTTTTATATTAACATGTAAAAAGTAATCCCAAGCATATTAATGTAATACAATAAATAGGCCAGAACCTTTTCAGTTCACAACTATTTATAATTCTTCTTAATTCCAAATTAAAACACGATGTAAACAGTGCAGGAATATTTGTTTGTAATTATTTTTGAATATTATTTTTCAGGTGAGAAACATTTGCAAGGCAAGAAGTGAAATGTGCCACTTACCCTTTTCTTTGGTTGTATTTTCCAGATGCTTGATTGAAGGAGGACAGGTAGCTTTTGTTAAACAAAGCATCATCACTGAGGTCACAGAAGGTATGGAATCATACAAATGAATATATAACTGTTGATCATCTTATTTATGATAGTTGACAATAGTAGATTGATGAAGATTATCAGGCATAATCAAAAGAATGGTTATTATAATAATATAATAATAATATTTATTTATTGAATTTATATTGCCACCTATTCACCATGGAGACTCAAGGCAGTTTACAGAATATAAAACCACATTTAAAACAAAAACTATCAAAAAGAATCAAATAAAATAATATAGCACAATATAACAACATCACCCCCCAACTCCCACCCCCCTGCCCTGATGACAGCAGATTACACAAGCCATTTAATGGGCTCCATCCCGCTCTGGGTTCCGCAGGCCCGCTGGCAGAATCCAGTTTTCAGCGCCTTCCAGAAGAGTATTAGAGTGGGAGCCGTTCTAATCTCTGGGGAATGATGTTCCAGAGAGAGGGAGTCACCACGGAGAAGGCCCTTCTTCTGGGTCCCACCAGGTGTATCTCCCTCAGGGATCGGACCTGCAGCATTCCCTGCCTCCCCTCTCTGATGAGTCAGGTAGATGTGACTGGCAAGAGATGGTCCCTCAGATAATAATAATGGTTATAATATAATGATAATGTTTATAAGATAAATTAACTGTGATCCAGAATCATGTTGCATTAGAAAGCATCATCCAATAGAATAAGAAGTATTGGAAAGCTCATTTTGCTCTGGAGTTGTACCAGACAAATTTGAATGCACCTATTCAAGTCAAGATGCAGAATTCTAAGGTTGGCCAAGTAATTCTGGGACATTCAGGCAAAAATCCAAGCATCGGTGTTCTTGGAACTCTTAGAGCAGCTCAGAAAAAAAGAAAGATCCCACATTGCTACATGCCTCAAATACTTTGTCTCCCCTCAAATTGTCAGTTTGAAGGATCAGATTAATTTTAATACGTTCATGGAAAAGAATGTAGTACAGATAGCCTTTGCTTAATAATAACACATTCAGCAACTTTTTGGTGATAAGGGAGATTCAAACATCAGCCTCAAAGTCTTCACAATGATGTTGTCATAATTCAGCTGCTTGGCATACTTACAACAGTTAAAGTGCCCATAGCCACATGATAACTATTTATGACTTTCCCTGGTGGCTTCCCACAAAGTCAATGTGGAAACTGGCAGGTCACCAGTCACTCTTGCAATTGCTCCCACTCCACCATTTTATTCTTCTAAGGAACCACTGGGTGGCATGGTGGATCTCTATTCCATAATATCTGCTTACCCACCTGCTCTTTGTAGTGTGCATCTGCCCATACCACCCACTTGCAATCCATGGTGGCTGCTAACCCACCAACACTTTGTAACTTCATCCATCCTGGCCAGACTCCACAGGGCATGTTCATAGCACTTGCCTCATCTGCATTCTGCATCATGCATCCACCCCTCTGCCAACACTCTGCAGTCCATTTGCCCGCATATTATAGCTCTTACCTTCATGTAGCTATATATATTATTTCCATGTATGATATGCCATACGCTAATTCAATAATAAATATGAACTTGCTGACAAAATGTCATGTATACACACCACTCCAAAGAACTTTGAGACTACTACATTGTCAGTGGGATGCAAAATGGCATGGAGGGTAGCTGGGAAAGTCCTATCTTCCCTTTCCATGGAGTAGGGCTACTAAGGAAAGTATATGCATAGTGGTGCAGGGAGTCCTTGTTAATAATTTTAATCATTTTTTAATAGGACAAAACAAACCTGCTTGGGCAAGTGGTGTAACTCCTTCTGATTTTGTTCTTCTGAACAAAAATGGTGAACGTTGTCATCATGATGAATATGAAAGATGTCATTTGGCCCAAGTTTGCAATCATGCAGTAGTGTCAAGACCTGAACGAGCAGAAGTGGTTAAAAAGGTGGTACTTGAGCAACAGGTAAGCTCTAAATTGACACTGTTACATTTAATAGTAAAGTTATATAACATATATACATGGGGAAGATGTGCATCAGCTCTGACAGGTCAATTCACCAAAGCCAACTCACCATGGCCAACTTGTCAGGGGACAATTCAACAATTAAACTTACTTATTTAAAATAATTTTAAAAGAATTTTAATTTTTGTCAGTCACATTTCATTTTGTCCCCCTTTTGCATTCTTTACTTAATGATTCTATTCCACCATTTCTTCAATATTAGTATAACTCTTGTGGCTTCAGTTGGTCCTGGTGAGTTATCCTGTAGTGAGTTGGGTGTGGCAAGCTGGCTGTGAAAAACATCTACTGGTATAATATTCCAATAATAAAATTCCTTGAGAAATGACAGGCACAAGTAAAAATGAGAAACAGTACCAAATACAAGAAATGTTATGCATTCACTTGAAACTACCGTATTTATTAAATATTATAGCTACTGAAGTCCTGCTTTTGTTGATTTTTACAGAAACTATTTGGAAGCCAGGGAACTGAGAAAGATGTCTTCCATATGTTCCAATCTGATGCCAAAGATAGCTTATTCAAAGATGGCACAGAATGCTTAGCTGTTCCAAATGAAAACACCTATGAGGCATACCTTGGGGAGGAATATCTGCAGTCTCTTGAAGGATTCACCAAATGTTTACCTTCAGGTAACAATCTTAGATTAAGATGAATGGCATTCATCCATTTCAGTTGTAGAAATTTTGTTTCAGGCTGGTTGTAAATATAACTCACAGAATGTAAAATAAAATGCAGGAGGCCATCTCCAGACATTGCAACTAACTAACTAACTGTAAGTAACAGTTTAGATTGTAGCTAACACTGTACCTTGTTTTGGCAACGTTGCAGTCTACCAGATAGCTCAGACGAAATTTGGAATTTTTGACTATCTGATCCTTCATAAACATCTAGGCTTGTAAAAAAAAAAATTATAATATACTATATTTCCAAACAGTGCAGTTGATGACTTGATAATTCTGTCCAAATGCTTTTCCTTTTTGTATGGCACCAAATACACCAAATGTTGTTACTCCAGAGCTTCTGTAAGGCTTGACAATTCATTTTGCAAACTGATTAAGTCAAGACCTTATATTAAGATTTGTGAATTTTAGTTCTGCTTTAGGCATGATAGCTAGCTGGGTCACCTTGGGTCAGTTGCTCTCTTTCTCATACTAACATACAAAAAAGGGTTGTTATGGTGAAAATAGGAGAAGTGGGGAGTATTACATATGTTCGCTGCCTTAAGTGAATTATAAAGTACTATAATAAAGACAGGATTAAAATCTAACAAATAAACATCTGCACCATCATTTGAATATCTTTTCTCTATTTTTAAAGATAATTTAAAAAGAAGGCTTATAACACCATTGTACTAGAACTTCTTGACATACTGTAAAGCACATCCAAAGAATGAGATAACTTGTGACAAAGAGAAAATTAAATATTAGTTGTAATAGCTTATTTTGAAAAATATCAAATGTATGGCAAATGGTTCTGTACAAAAATAGATCAGAGCTATGGGCATGTTGATTAATTCATTGTGGTATATACATATATCACAACTGTTTCTGGTGTAAAGGTGACAAAGTTTTCTTTCTTTTGTTCACTTTTTAACTTTTCTGTTAAGTTCTTCAGAGATAAAGGAGAAGAAGCCAATTGGGACAGGGCTGTTGTTTCTTTTTTCTTTTTTAAATAATAGAACTTAACATTACTAAGGAATGATTTAAAACAGTTACAGTGATGATATTGTAATGGTGCAGAATAGAATATGCACCTTTGGAAGACCCTTTTCAGTCTCGTTATCTATAGAATACAGTAGGACTATTTTGTTTCCACGCTCCCAACAATTTGTAGAGGAATGTAGAATTAAACACATAGCTATCAGGCAGTTAGATAAATAATTTTTATGCTCTCACCTCTCCCCCACCCCATTTTATTTCACACACTGTCATACTGTGTGAGATGTCATACTTTGACTTTCTCAAACTGACATGCTCTAGATATATCTTAAGACAACAGGGATTCAAGCCGGGGTTGGAATAAAGGGGAAAACAGCAAAATATTCTACCTACATTTTCTAAAGATTAAACAGTTTGTGGGTCACTCTGTGCTATTGTAAAACTATGTATTTAGTTCTGTCTCTTAATTCTTACTTTTTTTCTGTTTTCTTGTGACAGAACTCCTTAAGGTCTGCACCTTCCACACTCATGACTGGTGAATATCAAGTTCTTGCAATGAAATAAAATGGATGCTACATACTTACTTGCCCAAAGTTGACAAAAATCTACTGTACTTACTTTATTCTTCTTTAATACCAACAATCTGTTAAACTTTCCATTATTACTTTGTAACTCTGTAGAGTCACTAGTGCAAAAAATAAATAGAATTAACATCTACAGTTTAATTTCTGTTTATTAGGATTGTTTATTTTAGTCGCTTGCCTTCATATATTAGCATTTTGTGTCATCGTCTACCAAGGCTGAAAACAATTCATTGGACACAATAATCACAACAAATAACAGTAAGGCAATTTTATTTGAAGCAGCTTTTACTCTGTAACAATACGTTTAACACTATCAAACAACAGTGGCTTATCCTAAGTCCTTCAAAAGAAGTCAGTAGGTAGATAATGCCAAATCTGGTCTAAACATCTTGCTGACTATGCAACCAACCATAATAATTGCTTATGATTATTAATTGCTATGGTTCATTACATAGTCAGTGATATGTTTAGATTGGATTTGGTATTTTTATCCACTTATCAAGTGATTCCCAGGAATCTAGTATAGGCAGCTCTTCGATAGTGGTGAAAGTACCATTGCAAGATATAAGCTGTTCCAAGTATAACTGCCTTTTGCAATTGGTTGATGGTGATTTTATCACTGTCAATTGTGTTCAAGTGATGTCCAGATGTTTTGTGATTGCACCCAAGCCACTTATTACTACTGATATTATCTTCATGACTCTTCTAAACAACACCAAAGTGGAGACCATCCAGATATTGGAGGAAAACTAATTCCAGAGGGCAGACACTGCTGCAGAAAAGGTATACTTTTAGAGTACCAATAGATCACATTATTTCAATGATGAACCTGAAGTGTGCCAGCCCTGCACAAGTGATTTTTGGGGAAGGTGCTGTGAGAGACTACTAGTCAAATAACCAGGCTGTATGCCATGTAGAGTTTTATAAGTAACAAGCACCCCAATTGGTACCTGGAAGCAAACTGGCAACCAGCTCACAAAGCACACTTGTTACATCGACATATTAGGGCATGTCAATCACTGTTCATGCCAGAACTTTCTGGACCAGTTGAAGCTTCTGGCTAATCTTCAAGAGCAGCTCTATGTAGAGCACATTGCAGTAGTCAGGCTGCAAGGTAAATAGGGCATGAATTATTGTCTAAAGGTCTGTTTGATTTAGGAAAAGATGTAACTGGGGCACTAAATTGAAATGTGCAAAGGCCTTCCAGGCCATAGCTGAACAATTATTCTTCAAGCAGGAACTGCAAATTCAGAATGACCTCCCTCCAACGGCATATCAACCTTGGTATGAAGTCATACCAGAATGATCTCACTCAAACAGCATACCAATGGTATACCAATGAAAAATATAATTGAGTATCACTTGCATACTAATTATATTGAATCCCAAACTGGCAGATGACCTCACTGAGAAGCTTCATGTAGATTTTGAAAAGGAGGTGGGAGACAGAATAACCCTTTGGTACTCCACCCGAGGGGCATAAGGAGTGATCTCTCTTTGTCAACCAACTCAACATTGACTGGACTGGCTCTGGAGAAACAAAGAGAACTATAAAACAAGACCCGAATCTCCAACCCATGGAGCTGGCTCAGAATGATACTGTGGTTAATGGTATCAAAAATTGCTGTGCAATCAAGGAGCACAAGGATGGATGTGCCATTACCATCCTAGCTTCACCACAGGTTATTGACAAATGTGACCAAATTTGTCTAAGTACTAAATCCAGGCTGAAATGGGTCTACTCTAGATAATCCATTTCCTCCAGAGTTCTCATCAGCTGCACTATTGGATCAACAAACTTTCCCAAAAAGGGATGATTGGTTGGAGGTTGCTAAAAACTATTCGGTTCAAGGACAGCTTTTTGAGGAGGGGAGTGCACTAATGTTACCAGGTATCTGAACAGGCAAAAAAGAATAAGGACAATTGGAAAGGAGAAATGCAGGGAGCACACACCATGTATTTGTATTTACTTTCATTAGAGAGAAATGGATTATAAATGAATAAATAGGTACACATTGCTAGTGCTGGCTGTTTGTTAAGGCAGCTAGAAGGCAAAAGTGTTCAGTATGTAGCTAATTTATATCCTGTCAATTTCAAGCATCAGTGAAAGTCAGCCCAAGGTAATCAAATAAATAGGGTTACAGATCAGAGCTTGTTTAACTGGCCTTAGCACTTTTTCAAAAAGCTGCTGAGGAAGAAATAGCTTGTATCAGGGGTGTCCAATTGGCAGCCCGTGGGCTGGATGCATTATGTGCAGGCCATACCCACCCTGGCTCCGCAAAGGCAAAAACATCGCAATGTATCATGCAATGCAATCAAGCGTGGCACCCATGTTGTAGATGTTCAAAACACAGACAACATTTGATTTTAAGGCTATGCCTTGCTAACAGTACCACCCACTCTTTCAGTGAGGTCAACACTATTGCCTGGCCCCAACAGCAGATTGCCTCTCTGGCACTTTTATAATCCAGAAGGAGCCCTGATCCCATAAACTGGTGAATAAGCAGACAGCACAGAGACCCCTAACCACTTCCTTGGGAGTCAAGCTCAGATTAGAATCTAAATTTGTTTGCATGTTAAACAGGAACAGCTTTCACCCAAGAAAATCCAAAAATGGGAAATATTTTATTAAGAGTTTAGATGTCATAATACCCTGAGTAAGCTTTGGGGTTTCCTCAGATTTCTTCATCTAGTAGTTGCATATAAAAAGAAATTAAAGGAAAGAAGGAAGATGTAGGATCAGTACTCTACCTTTAATATCTGCATATTACATAGTGTATGACATATTTGAAAAACATTGTAGTCAATACATTTTAGATAAACGTTGCCATGTTTTTCCTCTCACTCCTCACCAAGCATTTTTTAAAAATCAGTCTGATAAACAATTCTGAAGAACCGCAGTCACTTCAGAGCACTTTGATTATTTAAATAAAAGTATTACTAATTTCAGGTTTCAATAGATATACTACCGTTACAGAGGTAGCAATATGGGATTTCCACCCCACAGTTTGTTCTGAATTTAGTAAAAACACTCTCACATCATTGTGTTGGAAACAAAATTTAATAACCATTTCAGTCAGCTTCTGTCAGTGGAGTACAAGATGACTGACAGAGCAGAAATATTATTCTCGCCCCGGTTTTTCAAGAGTCATGAATAAGATCTAATCGCATGGACATAGATCAACTACAATGACACCTGCATAACTGGATAGAAGCGTTCCTGTCAAACAGGCAACAAATGGTCAAAATTGGGAGCATCCTATCAAATCCTGTACCTGTCAACAGTGGTGTCCCCCAAGGCAGCATTCTAGGACCAACCCTCTTCATACTCTACATAAATGACCTCTGTGATCATATTAAGAGCAACTGCATTCTTTTTGCTAGTGATGTAAGGCTATTCAACACCACCGACAATACTGCTACCCTTCAAAAAGACCTTGACTATGTATCAGAATTGTCAAACAAATGGCAACTTCAGATTTCAATAAATAAATGCTCTGTCTTACATATTGACAAAAATATATATATCAGAAAATAAAATACAAGATGAATAGTCAAGACCTTGTTGATGATCCAAACTCTGTCAAGGACCTTGGAGTACTCATCTCAAATAATCTAAGTGCTAGAGCCCACTGTAACTACCTAGCCAAAAAGGCATTAAGAGTTGAAAACCTAATCCTGCGTAACTTTTTCTCTGGTAATATCACTCTACTAACTAGAACATACAAAACATTTGCTAGACCAATACTTGAATACACTCATCAGTCTGGAACCCACATTATGTATCTGATATTAATACAATTGAGAAAGTCCAGAAATATTTCACAAGAAGAGTTCTCCACTCCTCTACTTGTTGCAGAATACCTTATGCCAGACTTGAAATTCTAGACCTAGACAACCTAGAACCACGCCACCTTCAGTTCGATCTTAGTACATAAAATCATACATTGCAATGTCCTGCCTGCAAATGAATACTTCAGCTTCAATCATAACAATACAAGAGCACACAATAGATACAAACTCGAGGTAAACCGCACCAAACTTGATTGCAGGAAATACAACTTGAGCAACAGAGTGGTCAATGTCTGGAATACTCTCCCTGACTGTGGTTTCTTCCTCAAACACCAAAAACTTTAACCTTAGACTATCTACTATTGACCTCACCTGTTTCCTAAGAGGTCTGTAGGGAGCGTGCATAAGCGCACCAACGTGCCTACCGTCCCTGTTGATTTTTGATTTTTTTTCCCCTTATTTGTATCCATTTCATTTTTCATAACCATGTTTATACTTATACCTGTTATATAATAATCGCTTGACAAAATAAAATAAATAAATAAATAAAACAAAGCGTGCCAACACTTTCCATATAAATCTGCCAACACTTTCCATGCCGGTTTAAATGGGCAATAAAATTTTCTTCGAGTATTTAAATCTAGATCATCCCCCAAACTCTGCTTTTGGGTATAATAATACAAAATTCTGATGATTTCCACCACCACCCCTACAAGAAATTGATGCTTTAGATTTAGAACAAGCTTCCGCGTCTCGGTATCACTAAGTTTCTTCGCTAGGAATTCTGGGCGCTGTAGTCCAATGTCATTATCCCTATCTTTTTTTCTCTTACTTGAAGATGAGCGAACTACAGTTCCCATAAATCTCTTGGACTCCTCTGCTCCAGTAGCCAGTCATCTGCTGTAGAAACCGGAAGATGACGATTCCATAGCTGGACACGTCGCTACATTAGACGTCTTAAGCTGTCACGCGTGTTGAGCGGCTCAGCATGAACGGGGTAAAAGTGACGCCCCAGCGCGAGGAGTTTCCCCCTCCCCAAGATGCGCCCCTGCCGGACCAGGACGTGGCGCAGGTGCGGCTCCTGATCTCGGTGGCGGTGGCCGTGTTCGTCGTCTTAGTTCTGGGTGAGTTTCAGCGCCCCTTGGCTTTGCTCGGCAGTTGCTTTCGAGCGGCGCAGAAAGCGGGGGATGGAAGGTGAGCCGGGCTCTCCCAGTGACGCGGAGCCTTTCATCGCTCTGTCCCTTTAAAATCGTAAATGCGAGACTGGCGTACGGCGTGATTGTTTGAAGGGAGGTGGCCGTGGGGCTTCTGCGAGTCTTGTCGTGGAGGTGAAGAGCAGAAACTGGGCA